GTCCGTCGGGAACGCGGGGCCGCCCGGCGTCACGAGGCGAAGGCCGGCGCGGAGGAGCAGCGGGCCTGGGAGGCGGGAGGAGGCCTCTCGCTCGCCCGCCCCGAACGTCCCTGGGTTGCAGACTGACTGGGGAACTTGGTCCCCGCGCCTTCCCTCCTCTTTGCCTCGATTCCCGGTGTCGTTCCCGTGTTCCAGGAAGGGCGACAGCGGGAAAAGTTGTCTGTGTGTGCGTGTGACATGGGTCGGGTCAGGATTGGGTTGATGGGGCGTGACGGCGGTTGCTCTGTGTGTGTGTGTGTGTGTGTGTGTGTGTGAGATGACACATGGTTGTGTCTGGTTTGCGTTGATTGGGTGTGACGGGGCAGGGGGTGCTGTGTGTGCGAGTTGGAGGAAGAAGGCACAGGCCAGTGTGGCCGGGTGGTTGCGCTGTGTGTGTGTGGACGCGCGCGCGTGGAGGAGGCACAGGCCGGTTTGGCGTGGTGGAGAGGGAATACCACAATCTGTGCCAATAGAGCCTGGAGGCAAGACACCGAGTGAGGAATAATAAAGCCTGCTTTGGCTGCTTTCCAGTTGATTTATGTCTCCTGTCAGATCCCTCCTTGGTGAAGCTTTCCCTCACCATGCCAGCTCGTACTGAACTCTCCTTTTCGTACCTTTTCCTCTCGTATTTAAACCAACACTGTTATTTACAGTGCTTTTGTGTTTTATTTTTCTGAGCTTGACAGCTGGGCACTTCTTTATACATAGATCCATGAATTTCTCCAATAGATCATTAATACTCATTTTTCTACAGACTCAAGCTTTATGTTTTTTTTTTTTTGGTTTCGACTAGAATCACTAAGAACAAAGCATTGAATCTTTGCCTTTTTTCTTCTTCACTTCAGTAATCCAGCCAACAAAATGTTTATGGAATATCCAGTGTGCATTGTGCCAGGCCTCATACTGGACACCCACGATGCACATGTGATTAAATCAAGTGTCCTTGCTTCAGACATCTCCAGTCTATGGAAAAAGAGCAGAGGATTGATGATCCTTGCAGTCCTCTCTCATCTGGCATTATTTCAGTCAGTATTTCCAGAGTGAGTGAGTGTGTGTGTGTGTTTGTGTTTGCTGGTCTTGGGGCTTGAACACAGGACCCGAGTGAGTGTGTTCCAGAGTTTTTTTGCCCAAGGCTACCATTTGAGCCACATCTTCACTTCCGGCCTTTTGGTGGTTAATTGGACATAAGATTCCCAAGATTTTCTTGCCTGGGCTGGCTTTGAACCTTGATCGTTTGAATTCAGCCTCTTGAGTACCTAGGATTACAAGTTTGAGCCTGTAAAACCTTTTTTGTTTTAACCAAGAGTTCTGATTCTTGTAAAACACATTTTTAAAAAAGTAAATCTTTTAGTAGTTCATTTAGAATCTGAAATTTGGTATGGTATACTTTCTGTATTTTCTTGCTGTTCTTCTATATGTTCATTTGCTTTTCAAAATGCATATATGTAACTTTTCTGAATACAAGGATTGTGAGACCCTTTTTGTGTTAGGGAGTTGTTGTTGGTTTCTAGCAGTGGTTATTGCTAAAGACAAACACACCCTGCTATATTCTTTCAGCAGTAGTAATGTGTTTATTGCAAAAGTAGGCCTTGAATATTCTTGGAATATGTCAGAACTTAGAAGTCTAAAGTGCTTAACAGGCTTCTGGTTCTCTTAAATGTAACAATTCAATTGAGCATTTGTGTCCTGTGTATATGATTGCCCCAAATTCACTTGTTTAACTTTGGAATTTATTCTTTATTATTATTACTTTTTTGGGTCCAGTCGTGGGGCCTGAGACTCTGGTCCTGGGCGCTGTCCCTCAGCTCTTCAGTTCAAGGCTAGGCTAGTGCTCTACCACTTGAGCCACAGCGCCACTTCCGACTTTTTTCTTTTTGCTTATGTGGTGCTGAGGAATTGAACCCAGGGCCTCAGGCATGCAAGGCAAGCACTCTACCAATGAGCCACCTTCCCAGCCCAGAAATTTATTCTTTATTTAATAAACTTTTTCCCTCTGGAGGTAAGTTTTTGAGTTGTGTGCTTTTGGCTCATGCATGTAATTCTAGCTACTAAGGAGGCTGAGGCTTGAGAATCACGATTTCAAGCCATCTAGGGCAGGAAAGTCTCTAAGGCTTTTAGCTCCAGTTGACTACCAGAAAACCGGAAATAGAACTGTGGCTCAAGTGCTACAGCACTAGCCTTGAGCAAAGAAGCTCAAGGACAACGCCTGGGCCCTGAATTCAAGCTCTAGGATTGGCACACACACAAACATTTTTTTCTGCCAACTCATGAAACAGATGATACATAAGCAACTGTAAGGAGAACCACAAAACTGGGGAAGATGTGGTTTACCTGCTAGCTAAGTTATTATTTCTCCCATCTCCTACCCATCTCTATCTAAAATCACAGGATAATAATTTTTTTTTTTAGCAAAGGAAGGAGTTTAATAGAGAAAGCATTAAGGGACAAGACAGGCAATCACAGGAAAATTTTATACCCCAAACAGTTACATACTGTTTTACCTTAAGTTCATAGATAAATTTTTTTTAATCTGCCATAGGCTTTGGAGCCTTTAATTGTGAATAAAAGTTGAAATTGATTTGCAAAGACTGAATATAGTGCAAGACAAGGGATTTCAGGGACTTATTTAAACTAACAAACCATTCTTATGAATGAATAAGATTCACTTGACAGTTTACAAATGATAATCATTCTTCCTTTCCCGATAGGATTTTCAGACTCTGAGGAGCTATTGGAACTAATCTACATCATGGAAATGGAAACCACTGAACCTGAGCCAGCCTGTGTAGTCCAGCCTCCCTCTCCTCCTGATGACTTTCCATGTGAGATGAAGCTCTCTGGGAAGATCACTCCTCTGAAGACTTGTTTTAAGAAAAAGCAGGACCAGAAGAGATTGGGAACTGGAACCCTGAGGTCTTTGAGGCCTATATTAAACACTTTGCTAGAATCTGGCTCACTTGATGAGGTTTTTAGAGCTAGAGACCAGAGTACAGATGAAAGCAGCTTACATGAACCTATGGTGAAAAAACCTCTGGAAATCCCTCCTTCATGCCCACCGGCAGAAAACAGTGTGTCTGTCCTGATTCCTGATGAGGCAAATAGCGAGAGCCAATTATCAGAAGCCCATCCTTCCACTGAAACTCCAGAACAAGTGGTTCCAATCCAGGATCCTAGCTTCCCATCTGAAACCATAAGTGGAGCAGTGGCAGAGGCGGATTCTACAGCTGGGCCCTTCCAGGCTGAGGTTTTGCATTCAGTTTCAGGGGATGTTCCAGCTCCTACTAGTCCTGACTGCGTTGAAAAAGCTGGAGATTGTGTTCCAGGAGTTTTTGAAGAAAACACTTTTACAATTCAGTACATTTTGAACACCAGTAATAAGTTGAACACTGAGCTTTTCCGGGACAAAAGTGAGGAGGCTTCTCTTGACCTGGTGTTTGAGCTGGTAAACCAGCTGCAGTACCACACTCACCAAGAGAACGAAATAGAAATTTGCATGGACTTCCTGCAAGGCACTTGTATTTATGGCAGGGATTGCTTGAAGCATCACACGATACTCCCATATCATTGGCAGATCAAGAAGACAACTACTCAGAAGTGGCAGAGTGTATCCAATGATTCCCAAGAGCACTTGGAAAGATTTTACTGTAACCCAGAAAACGATAGAATGAGAATGATGTATAGGTATGTATTTTAATAATACAATTGTTAAGTGGTCTAGAGAAGATAGACTAAAAGCTTAATATAGTAGTTTCTTTTATTACTAATGTGGCATTCTGTTTTTCCTCTCATTTTGGTTATTATGCTATACTGATTTTTCATGGTATTTGAATGGGGGCTATTTACCTAACCAAACAGTGAAGACTTTATTATTTGAATAGCTTAGATGACATTCTGTCCCACAGGCATATGACTAAGAAGTTGCATATACATTTCAGTGTTGTGAATCAAATACTCATTGACTCAAATAGGATAACTTGATTTCCAAAGGAAATTCAAGGTTAATCTTATAACCTGATTTAGTTTTAAAATCTTGTATGTTGTTTATTTTTTGTGCTGGAGATAAGAGGCTCACGGACTTTTCTGGCTGGCTTCTAACCTTGATCCCCAGATCTCAGCCTCCTGAGAAGTTATATTATAAGCATGAGCTAGCTGGCTTATCACCTAGTTGTACTGGTCCTGGGACTTGAATTTGGGGCCTGGGCATTGTACCAGAATTTTTGTGCTCAAAGCTAATGCTCCACTTCTTTCTTTTGGGTGGTTTATTGGAGCTAAGACATAGACATCCCTGCCCTGGGCTGGCTTTGAACTATGATCTTTCTGATCACAGCCTCCTGAGTAGCTAGGATTATAGGTATGAGCCACCAGCGCCTGACATTCTTTTTTTTTTTTTTTTTTTAATTTTTTGGTGCACTGATACAAGGACTTGGCTTTATTGCTTACAGCTGATGGGATGTCACTTGGGCCACACCTCAAGTCCAACCTTTTCTTGCTGGTTAATTGGAAATAAGAGTCATAGGAGCCAGGTGTAAGTGACTCAGACCTGTAATCTTAGCTATTCCGGAGGCTGAGATCTTGAGAATTGTAGTTCAAAGCTAGCCTGGGAATGGGAAGTCCTTGACTTATCTCCAATGAACCACCAAAATCCCAGAAGTGAAGCTGTGGTACAAATAGTTGAACAGTAGCCTTGAGCAAAATGAAAAGCTCAGGGACAGGACCCATGCCCTGAGTTCAAAGAGTCACAAGGTTTGACTGACTTCAAACCTTGATTTTTCAGGCCAAGTGCTGGTTGTTCATGCCTGTAATCCTAGCTACTCAAGTTGCTGCGATCTGAGGATCACGGTTCAAAACCAGAGGGGGTCAGGAAACTCTATGAGGCTCATCTCCAATTAGCCATTCAAAAACCAGAAGAGGAACTGCGGCTCCATTGGCTGTACGCTAGCCTTGAGCAAAAACAAAAAGCTGAGGGGTAGCACCTAAGCCCTGAGTTCAAGCCCCACAACCCTCCAACAAGTAAAACAAACTCCTCCATTTTTCAGATCAACCTCCTGAGTAGCTAGGATTATAGACAATAAACCACCAGAGTGCAGCTTTTGCCTTTTTTTTTTTTTTAAACCATCTGGCCTTGCCTCAATAGTTCCTCCTGCAGCTCAGCTTCTTGAGTAGTGGTTAATTGGAGATAAGAGTCTCCTGGATGTCCTGGGCTGGCTTCAAACCTTGATCTGCAGATCTTAGCCTCCCGAGTAGCTAGGATTATAGGCTTTTTTTTTCTTTTTTTCTTTTTATAAGGTAGTCTAAAATCTGTTGTCTATGAGCTAGCAATTCTAAGTGCTATTTTAGGTAATTGTCTTCACTGTAAAGTCATTAATCCTTCCAGCTCCAGATTGCAGGAATCCATAGAACAATGGCCTCCCACTTCATTCCCCACCCCCTTTTTTTTTAGCTGGTCCTAGGGCTTGAACTCAGGCCTTGGGTGCTATCCATGTGTGTTGGAACTTAAGACTAGTGCTCTATCACTTGAGCCACATCTCCAGCTCTTTTTTGGTAGTTGACTGGAGATGAGTCTCAGAGACTTTACTGCCCTGGCTGGCTTCTGACTGTGATCCTCCAATCTCAGTCTTCTGAGTGAAGTACAAGCTTGAGCCATCAGCATTTGGCTCCACTTCACTTTTATGAACTCAGTTTTCAGGCCACTGAGTACTTGAGCATCTTGGTACATTAAGTTTCTGTTTGAACTATCAGGAAGGAACTAGCATATTTTTAACACATTGTGTTCTGTTACTGTGAGCAAGGCAAGACAGTCATTTTGAGCCCAGAAGATCCAGAAATTCCTAGCAAGATATTAGGTATTTATCCTTTGATAAGACTGCTTTAATAAAGAGTATGTTGCTACGGGCTCAGAAGTATACACTGTTAGATCAGTTACTAAAGAGTTGTAGTAAGTGCTTGATTTTCAAATCAATTTTACTGAGATGTAGTATTTGTCAGATCAGTAGAGGAAGAATCAGTTACTACTCCTCTAACTCCTATAATATTGCTACTACTACATGAGGCGCCAGTGACTCAGGCCTAGCTACAGGAAGCTGAAATCTGAGGATCATCTGAAGCCAGCCTGCTCAAGAAAGTTGTTGAGACTTATCTCTAATTAACCAGCAAAACCCAGAAGTGGAAGTATGGCTATAGTTACTCCTACATTACAAATGGTCCTGCTCTGATAGAATAGCCCCCCAAAAGTATGTATATACTGTTAACCATTAACTAGTAAAGCAAAATTCTCTGGACTACAGGAAGAAATGTAAGATTGTAAATAGCCAGCTGTCAAAAATTAGGCTTTTGGGAAGTTGACCTGTGGTCATTGCAACCTGGCTTTCCTTGTATTCCAAAGCGATGTTGTGTTTCCTGGCAACAAGATGCAGATAACGGCATGTTGAGCCTTGCTGAGAGATTCACAAACAAGCTGGAGCAGCCCAGGTTCACATGGTTACCACATTATTTGGCTAAAGTTATTAATCTCTGTGGTCAGGCCTGTAAAGCTGGTCTATCTGTGCAGATTGCACATAACCAGGAAGTGTGTGTTCAGCTGTTTATATGTCCAAGTTAGACTTAGTAATTTTTGGATTCAGGAATAGTGAATAATGAATAGCATTTGTTCTAATTGTTTAGAGTAGTTTATGATTTGGCAAACCATTATTACATACTATGTCACATTACCTTCCTTGTGTGGAACTTGGGGAAAGTTATACAGTACTTCTGGGTCTCCAACAGACTGAAGTAAAATTATTTTGCTTTCTAAGCATGAGGCTTTAAATTCTAAGTTAATCTCAATTAAATGTGTTCATTATGTTAGGGATGAAATTGGAGAGAAAATTGAGCTAGGTAAGTTTAATTCTCTTCAGCTCTTTAGTCAAAGATGCTTAGATACTAAAAACTTACTTTTAAAGATTTCAGTAAGTTATTTTGTTTTTATAATGAAATAATAGTGCTCATCTTTACTTTCTTACTGTTTATATTCATTTGTAGATGTTTATTGCCAACACCAACTAGAAACTAGTGTGTAGGAACATCTCAGATGGATGTTGAAGCTTTTGTACATTTCTAAATTTAAAATGTGCACTTGAGGAAACAGCAGTGAATGCTGTAATCTTGATAAAGAAAACAATCTCTAATAGTGGGCACTCATCAGTAGATGGTGAAATTGGATGGCAGAACTAAACAGTTTTAAGAGAGTCTCACTAATTAGGATAATAATTGGGATCATTGAAATTGTGGAGGCCACTTAAAACTCTACTTAGCGCTAAAGATCACCATTGTTTTTACATTTCATTTATTATAAACTGTGCCAGGATAGTCTTCTAGTTATTGTCACCTATCAAGAAGGAAGGGACACACTACAAACTAGTTTTATTTGGGAGGGTACTTGCAATGCAGCCAGCAACTTCTGATTCTGAATTTGTTGAATGAGAGAGTGATAAAGAAGAAAACTAAAAACTGAATCCATGGCTAATTTTTCTCAGAGGACAGTTCTTTTGGAACTGATTTGTGCAGAAGACTGAAGCCTAGAATGCTGTGCTAGTTGTAGTTGGATAGTTTTGATTGACAGTGGCTTTCGTTATCTTTTTCTTTTTCTAATGTTATTGAGAGACAATGCCATCAGTGACTTCACATAAATTGTGTAAGAAATGCATATTAATTAATTAATAGTAGAAGTATGAATTGATGTGGTTTCTAGGACTTGCAAAGTGAATTACCTAAACTAGACCAGGCTCCTGACTGAAATCTACTAGATAGTTAAATTAGCCAAGTTGGCTTTGGCCTACACAGCTGTGATGTGTGATCTAACTCATTATGTGTTATTGATAACACTGGAGAGAAAGCAGCTGAAACTTACTGTGCCTTCTGACTTTTTGGTAGTTCTTGAATATACACAGCTGTATGAGTTTGAATTTATTTAAAAAAATCTATTTAAAAAAGAGAGCTCCATAAGCAAGAACTGTATTTGAAGTGACTTTGAAAATGTGTGCCTTGTGCTTTAGGATAAAGCAGGCCAATGAATTATGCTGCTATTTACATATGAAATAAAACTAATTGGCTTCTATCTATACTAATCTAGAGAAGTTACTGGGTCTGTGTAGCGCTATCATGGAAATCAATAGCAATCATTCATGTTCTTTCTGGCTTTTCATCAATAAGCAGATTAAACTTTCTGAAGCAGCTGTCACCTGGCTTCAGGTTGGGGTCAGTCCTTTACTGATGTGTTTATGTAAAAAAAATGAACATTGGAGAAAGCAAAGGTTTTATAACTTTTAGATAGTTGGAAGAAATAACTTATAAGGTTATCTGGCAATTCATAAGAGTAATTGCATGGCACATTATTACTGAGTCAAATCCAAACTTCCAATTTTGATTGTACCCAACAGGGAAAAAAAAGGAATAGCAGTAATTCCTTTGGGCACTAAAAAAACAAAAAACAACTAAGTTTGCATATAGTGAGCATATAAAAGAATACTACTTTTGACTCATTAGCTCTCTTGTGCCCCAGTGACTCTCTTTCCTGTTCAACTAGGATTTCTAGATTTTTTAAAATAACATTATACCTTAAGGAATGATAAATTCCTAAAGTCCTGTTTTTCATCTTGACCAGTGAGCTACATTTTTTTTTTCCAGGTTTGGAAACTACTTTTTGT